CCTCTCTCTCTCTCTCTCTCTCTCTGGAATGGCAAAAAACTCTCGCGTGCGGACCCCCCTTGTGCAACCCGGCGTTTCTAAACGGTCCGTTTCCCGCAAACTGGGCTGTTCTGTCTCACACACCCACAACCTCGGTCCGATTGACCCGCCGGCCCCCGTAACAATCCCGCCGTGCCTGCGCCGCAAACGCCGCGTTAATGCCCCGAACGTGTAATCGCTTGAACGCGGTCAACGTCGCCGAATCGCCGATATCCCCGCGCGCCAAAACCCTTGTATTGCAACGGGCCATGAATACCCTTTTTCATTTGGAACGGCGAACCCGAAAAACGTCACCGACATCACGAATGCGGCCTTCGACCTCGAACGGACCTGTCCACCAAAAACCGTTCACTTGAAACCCTGGGCTTTTTTTTTCTCTTCTGACCCTCCCGCACCAGTCGAACAATGGAAGCACCGGTTCACGGCAGAGTGCATGTCGGTGCTGCTCGACCAGGCGTTCGGGGCGAAGACGCCCAAGTACGCGACGGTGCTCCAGCTGGACCGCAAGCTGCGGGCGTTCCCCGTGCCGCCCGTGCTCCAGATCGCCGGATTCGGAAACTCGGATCCGCGCGCCGGCGCGGGCTCGGCGGGGCAGGACAGCGCGTCGCTCATCCTGCAACGGCATATCGTGCTCGCGATCAGGGAGATGAGTGAGTTCGAGGCTGCCGTTTCTGGGAAAGGGGGTGGTCACGGGGTGCTGACGTGGGGTGTCTATTTTCGTCGTCTAGGTTTGCTCTACCTCCACCGCTCGTTCTTCGCGCGCGCGATCAGCGACCACCCGAAGGACCCGCTCGGGAGCCCGTACGGGACGAGCGTGATCGCCGCCTATCGCAGCGCGGGCTCCCTCGTCGCGCTCATGCGCAACTTGCATTCGCAGCTCAAGAAGGGCCCGAACGAGCGCACGTGGTTCTTGTGGTACGCCGTCTGACGCTGGAAGCTCTCTCCTTCGTGCCGATGTTGACGCCCGTACGTAGGGGCCACGTGTTCTCGTGTGCGATCGTGCTGGGCTCGATCGTGACGCGGTGTCCGTCGATGAGTCTCGCCCCGAGCGCGCTGCTGCAGCTCGACTCGGCGTGCGAGCTCTTCTCGCGCACGGCGGACCTGTTCCGCGCCCAGAAAGTCCTCGTGCGTCCTCCCCCCCCTCCCCCTTGTTCGCTTATTCGCTCTGACGCCGCACCCAGAACATCATGCTCAAGCTCCGCCAGAAGGCGCACGCGAGTCTGACCTCGTTCCGCGACGGCAAGCCGCTCTCGCTCGCGGGCCCGCTTGCGCAGCACGGCGGGCCGGGCTCGGGCTCGGGCCCGGCCTCGCCCCAGGACGAGGACGACGAGCTGTTCACGCTCGGCGGCAAGACGCGGCTCGTGGCGAAGGACGCGACGCTGAGCCCGACGTTGTCGACGGGCTCGGGCGGGTTGGGGCTGGAGAGGAGCCCGACGTCGCTGAACCCGGTCGTGCCGCTCCCGCTGAGCCCCGTCGGCACGGCGCATATACACCCGAACTTGGTCGAGTATCTGCGCACGTTTGGGCCGGGCGGGATGCAGCCGCAGGTGGGTGTGGACGTGGACGTGGACGTGGGCGTCGGGATGGGCATGGGCGGGTACGACCAGGGTCAGCAGCATGCGGTGGCGTCGTCGTCGTCGTCTGGGCAGTATGGGCTGCCGTCGATGCAGCTCGCCGACACGGCGTATGGGCCGCCGCAGCAGCAGATGGTGAAGCAGCAGCAGCAGCTGCAGCAGGAGGCGGTGTATGCGCAGCAGGGGATGCATCATCACCAGCACCACCAGCACCAGGAGTTCCCGCAGTACTTCCCGGTGTTCGATTATGGCCCGGCGGGCGGGGAGTTCCCGCCGATGGCGATGGTGCCCGATACGATGGTCGAGGGGCCGCCGGGGAGGAGGGATAGCGGGACGCCGGAGAATATGCAGACGACGTGGCAGGATTTCGTGGCGCAGCTCGGGATGTGAAGAGCCTTGACGAAAAGTACGCCTGGCCAGAGTCGGGGGGGTGGGGTGTTTTGACGTCCGCTGTATCGATTTCCATGGGCATCGTGGATCGGCTTTTTTTTTCCGTTTGTGTTTTTCTTTGTTCTCTCTTCGTGGAGTACGTATATCTTGGCGACGTGACTTATGATACAGCTTATCCTAAAATGTACTCTAGTAGCTGTGGTTTTTTCTTTCTTTGCGACTGCGTTGTGTGTCCGAATCGTCAAGGGAAACGTGGGTGGCTGTAGCGGGTCGCGGCCTCAAACCCCTTGCGCGTGAACGGCGACGCCGGCTGAGATTCCGTCATCGACCCCGACGGTGAGGACGACACGCGCTCTCTGAGCTCTTTATTGCACTTCATCGTCCTTCTCGACACTCGACACTCGACAGTACAGCAACCCATCGAGGACGACTTGGAACAGACAACGATCGCAGCCATGGACGGCCTGCTGGGCGCCCCCAAGTTTCCCCACACGAGGGCCGAGCTGGCCGCCATCGCGCGCCAGTACAAGCCGCTCGACTTTGGCGACGACCCGGACGCGGAGGATTACCGAAACCTGGCGCCGGGCCTGCTCCGCCGCGTCGTCTCGTTGCTCGACGCCGAGGACGAGGACGAGCTGAAGGCGCTGCTGCGCGAGACGTACGGCATGGACGAGGGCGAGGTAAGAGACCGACCCCGGCGTCCGTTCCATGGCGGTCTATCCGGGTCTCGCTCACGATTCGCTTTATTTTTTTCTTTTCGTGTAGGCGGAAGAGCACGTCCTGAACCTGATGCACAGGCACCGCGACGACGCCGCGGGCGTGCCCTTCCTCTTCTTCGCCACCGCGAACCGCACCCGCCCGCTCTCTCGCCCGTCCTCCCGCGCGTCCAACCACTCGACCGTCTCCGCCCGCCTCGCGCCCACCGGCGGTCGGCCGGAGACGCCGTTGATAGCCTACTCGGCCTCCGCGCCGAGCTCGCCCCTCGCGCTCGTCTTTCGCCGGCCTCACACCCCCGCCACCTCCCCGCTCGCGCACACCACGGGCCAGAGCGGCGGCGGCACCAACAACAACAGCAACAACAGTAATAACAGCAGCAACAGCAACAGCAACAACAACAACAATTCGTACATGACCGCGAACCCGGGCGGCGTCAGCGACTCGCCCTCGTCGTCGCCCACGCTCGCCTACGCCCTCCCCGCGCACGCGCACGCCCAGTTCGCGGCGAGCCTCCCCGCGTCGCCGCTCTCGTCCCCGCGCCTGCTGAGCGCGAAGGCGAGCGAGTTCCGGCCCGTAGGCGCGCACCCGCTCACGCGCACGCACTCGAACCCGGGCTCGCTCGCCGCGCTCCGCGCGCAGACGCCGTCGCCCGACCTCTGGGCGCACACCGCGGGCGCGGCCAGCCTCGCGATCGCGCGCCCGCTCGTGCCCGACGGGCTCGTGCGCGCGTCGACGCCGAGCTCGGGCTTAAGGTCGAGCGTGCGCCTTGGCCCGCCGGACGTGGACGAGGAGGACGACCCGTTCGACCCGTTCGCGGGCGGGAAGACGCGCGGGCCGCTCGTGTTCGGGAATGGGGGGACGGGGACGGAGGCGGAGTGGTCGCGGTCGGGCTCGAGCCACTCGGGCTCGTCGCTCGGCGGCGCGGAGGGCGAGCGCGGGCTGCTCAGCTTTGGAAGCCCGGAGCGGGTGGACGCGATCGCGGCGGTGGTCGAGGGAGATGCGGACGGGTACGGGCGGGGGTACGACTACGGGCGGGAGTATTCGGACGTTTACGGGAGCGCGGGCGGGGAGGGCGCGGGCGGGGAGGAGCTGAATCTGGACGAGAGCGAGGCGCAGGCGGTGTTGACGGGCGGGATGACGCCGTTCGACGTGCTGTCGTCGGTGTTCGGGACGACGCTCGCGCCGAGCGAGCTCGAGGAGGCGCTGGCGAACCACAATTACGAGTTCGAGAAGGCGATGGCGTGGCTGATCGAGCGCGCGTTGCCGGCGAAGCAGCCGCCGGCGTCGGTGGCGAGCGCGGGGAGGGGGGGGATCGTGGTGGGCAGGGACGGGATGAGGGGAGGAGGGAGGGCGGACGCGAGAGGAGGGGCTGGGCCGCGGTACGGAGGGCGAATGGCGGCGGGCGGGAACAGGGTCTGCAGGTACTTCCTCGCGGGCGAGTGCCTCAGGGCCGATTGTCGCTTCAGGTGGGTGGATTGCGCCTTCGTTTTTCGTGAATGTTCCGGCTTTCGAGACTAAAAAAAAAAACACGGACCCTCCCCCCCCCGCGTCCGCACGTTTTTTTGCGCACACACACAGTCATGACCTGGAACGCGCGATGTGCCGCTTCTGGTTGCGCGGGACGTGCGCGAAGGGCGAAAACTGCGAGTTTTTGCACCACCTCCCGCCCGAAGTGGACGTCTCGCGGCTCGCGACGGCCATGTCGCATGCGGACCTGGGCGCGCGCCCTTTGGCGGCGGCGGCGGTACGACCGGGTTCTTCGCCGCCCGCGGACGACTTCCCCGCGCTCGGCGCCGGCGGCGGGGCGCCGCACCCGGGCGGCGGCAACGGGGGAGGAGGAGGGCACAACAAGTACGACCCGTGGCGGACGCGGTTCGCGGCGGCGGTGAAGCGGGCGGCGCCGGGTGCGGGGATGCACCGCGCGACGCCGAGCCAGGAGAAGGCGACGCTGGCGGCGCGGAGGCAGGCGATGGGCGCGAGCGCGGACCCGCTGCACCACCACACGGCGATCGTCGCGCCGCGGCCGTCGCCGCGCGTGCGGCTGCGCCCGCCGCGGCTGCTGCCGACGCTGCCGACGGGCGAGGCGGTGAACGGGATGTATATGGATTATCGGAGGCGCGCGCTGCAGCTGGGGGCGGCGAGGAACGCGTGTTTGAGCCGCGCGGCGGACGCGTGGAGGAGGGGGGACGGGGCGGCGGCGAAGAGGTTTTCGAGGGAGGGGCACGAGCTGAATGCGAAGATGGGGAGGGAGATGGAGGAGGCGGCGAGGAGGTTGGTGAGGGAGAGGGCGAAGGTGGCGGAGGGCGCGGTGCGGATGAGGGATGCGGGGTGGAGCGATGATCCGGCGGACCGGGCGGAGAGGGGGAAGAGGTGCGGGGGCGGGCTGGGCGTCGTTTTGGGCGTTGTGGGGAACAGGGAAGAGGGCAACAAGTTGAGCCCGGAGGAAAGGACGGAGGCGATGTTGGATCTGCATGGGCTGCATTCGAACGAGGCGACAGAGGTTTTGGAGGATTTCCTGGCTTCGGTGAGTGCGAAAAAAACGAATTCTTCGTGCTTCTCGGTTCTCGCTCAAATCGAGGGCTCTGTGTTCATAGCTCGAGAAGGAGCATTTTTATGGACTCGGTGAGTACTTGGATTTTATGTCCGATGGTTACACACTCCGTGCTCATTTTTTTATTACCCGTCGCTATGTAGCATACCTCGTGGTCGGCGAGGAGAAACATACCGGAACGCAAGACGCCGCGAGAGGTGCTTCGCGTGCGCGCTTGGCGGCGGGCGTGCGCGAGTGGCTGCACCGCTGGGGCTACCCCTGGAGCGAGACGCAAGGCGTGATCTGCGTCGATCCTCTTACGCACGAATAAATAGACCAAGAAGAAGACCGGCAAGGCCAACCCCATCACGCGAATCGGATCGGCGTCGCGAGCGGTGTGGCCTGTTGATCTCTGGCAGGAAGAATCAAGATGATGTTGTGTGTGTGTACGATTAAATTTTCAGGGATGGGCCCTCGGCTTCTGTGCTTTCTCTCTCCCCCCCGGTTTGCGCGGTGGGAGGAACGATTTGGATGGATCGAACACCCGTCCGCGAAAGACGTGGAACTCGGGTTTGAAATGTAACAACATGTAGATAGTATAGTGTGTGTCGAATATCGAATAACCTCCCTCTCCCACCGAGCCGCATGACGTTGCGAGGTGCCCACATCGCAGCCATCAGCAAGTCGCTACGGGTTGCGATCCTGGCTCCGAGGACGAGCAGGAGGATCAGCTTGGGCCTCGACGGCGTGGCCGGTCGCGCGACGGCCGGTCGCAGTGGAAGTGGCACCGCATCAGGACACACGTCGCGAAAGCAACCACCATTTATTGAAACAGGCCCGGCTTCTGCTCCCATGCGAATCCCGCCTCACCCCTCGCGCAGCTCTCCCTCTCCGTCGTCCGCCCACCATGTCCGTCGCCGCCGCCGCCGCCAGCGCCAGCAGCGATAGCGCCGACCACAACGCGAACCGCCCGACCTCGATCGATCTCTCGCTCGAACTCGAACGGCAGCTCGACTCGATCGACTCGCCGCTCGCGACCCCGGCCCCGCTCCCCGCAACCGGGGCGGTGGGGAAAGGGCTCCGGAGCAGGCCGCAGTCGCTCGACCCGCACGTCCTCGCCTCGATCGTGACGCAGCTGCGCGATAGCCTCGCACAGGTGACCAAGGAGCGCGATGACCTCGTCGGCCTGCTCGCGGAGAGCCACGCGAAGGAGGCCGGGCTGAAGGACGCGCTGGAGGGAGTGATGGAGAAGTGCGAGCGGGCGGAGGATGCGCTGCATAACATGAAGCTGCAGCATCAGGAGGACGTGGACACGATCACGACGCTGCGATCGAAGGTCAGTCTAACCGCGATCGTCGTCCGTCTCATCGTACTGATCCGTCGTGCATGGTCTCAGGTGGACGAAAGCAGGTTCGTTGCTAGTCTAATCGACAAGCTTTTGGACGTGCGCTGAATACGAGATGAACAGACGCGGGCTGATGAAACTACAAGCCGAGAGCCGGCGCATGAGCCAGTCATCCATGACGCTGGACCTCGCTCGCGCCAACGCGCCCCTCACCGGAGGCAAACGCCCGCCCTTCACGCCACTTACCGGATCCGGACGTGTCGGTCCCGCCGGCGGCCGTGGGCACCGGCGCGGCGTCTCCATGTCCGAGGGCGGCTTCTCCCCGCCACCGTCCGCCTTCCTGCCCGACGGGGCCGGCGCACAGATCACGCAGATCCCGCCGACGCCCGAGTCGCCCGCAGGCGGCTTTTTCTCGCGCTCGCCCGGTAAGGACCGTCGCGCGTCGGGCTTCTTTGGGCGCACGTCGCCCGTCATGTTGCCCGGGAGGCTCTCGCCCGATCACGCGGGCGGCTCGCAGTCGCCGCCGCCGAGCCGGCGCGAGCTCGAGGCGCTGAGGAGGGAGATGATGGCGCTTCGGACGGAGCTGGACGAGACGCGGGCCGAGCTGACGGAGTCGAACGAGGCGCGCGAGGCGAGCGAGACGTGCGTCAAGGCTCTCCGCGAGTACATCGCGCAGAGCAACATCGGAGAAGGCACGAGCGCGAGCGCGCCGTCGACGGCGCCGGTCCCGGTCCCTATCAAGCGCGAGTCGTCGTCGTCGTCGAGCAGCGGATCGGGCTGGGGATTCCGGCTGTGGAGTGCATCCGCCCCGACGGAGACAAGATCGATGCCGCCGCCGCCACCCCCGGCCCCGGCGGCGCCCGCACCGGTGCACGCGGCGAGCAAGTTTGGGAGCTTCTTTGCGAACCCACGGCGGTCGAGCTACGCGTCGTCGACGACCAGTTCACTGCGCGGCGCGCGCCCGGAGCCGCTGATGGAGGACAACCGCGAGTCGGATGAGGACGAGTCGACGGGGCCGGTCAGCCCCACGGGGGAGGAGGCCCCGCGGGCGAGCGTGACGATCCAGGAGCAAGACGGTGCACGTGAGTCGTCGTAGCCCTTCATACAAACGGAGGACGCAGTGCCGATGAAACTTCTCTTCTTCTCGTGGCCACGCAGAGGAGGTCATCGTCCCCGCGCATTTAGATCTACACGCAACCGAGCCTTCGAAGACGGCGGAGACGGTCGTCGCTACACCAACGCAGGCCTCCGTGACCGCTGCATGAGGCCCTCGGCCTTTGACAAGGGCGTGCACCACGAAGGAAAGTCGGATGCATGAGTTCCTGCACCAGGAACGATACCATATCAACTTATAGACAGTCAGGACCGCGATCGGCACACATGAGTTTAGCGCCGACACTTTACCTCTCCGCGTTATACGGCGGGGAGAACGACGATCCAGTTTCAGTATATATATCCCCCAATCCCTTCCTCACAGTCTCATCTGTATGTATCGCTGGCATGTTTCGTTCATATATCCCTAACACCTTTCGTTCGTGATACCCTTGTGGGAAGTACTGGACCTTGCGATGTTATAAGCACGAGGCCGGGCTCTCACACCGGTGTGTGATGTATCGCTATGGATTTGGGGCGTAATACGATAGAGTCTTTGACATCGAGACATATGAGTGGTGCGGTGTGTACTTACGTCGCTGCGATGGATAGTGGGTCACGCGCAGACGGTTCTTCGGCATGAGGGTGACGTGTCCGGCCGGCTGAGCACGGAGGTGGGTTGCTTGCAGAGGCGATGGGTACAAAACTAATGAGCGTAGCGCGCGTCGCCAGGGTGGACCCAATCGTGGACGAATCTGGGAAAGCATGGCCCCTACTGTGTATCTTATTTCCGGCGCGAATCGAGGCATCGGTCAACCGTTTTACGATGCCATAAACATCGGCGGTTCGTTGAACTACTATCTATTGCAGGCCTGGCGCTCGTCAAGGCATTGGCGATGAGGGAGGGAGCGATCGTGTTCGCTGGGGCGCGAAATCCGGAGGGCGCGACGGAGCTGAGGGAGTTGGCCGCGGCGCAGGCTCCGGGGAAGGTGCACGTCGTGAAGCTCGTGTCGTCCGATAAGCCGGGGAATGAGGCGGCGATCGAGGAGGTCAAGAGCAAAGCGGGCAGGTTGGACGTCGTGATAGCCAACGCCGGTGCGATCGATCGATGTTGTTTTCGCGTTGTCCTCCCATCCCGTCTCCTCTCTGCGCAGGGATATCTCAGTATTACGGGCGCGGAGTCGACGCCCCTCCGGAATCGTTTCGGGAGCATTTCGAGGCGAGATGTTCTTGAAGCCCCTCCGAAATTTCGTATCTGATCATCCGATCGACAGGTCAACGTCGTAGGGACGCTCGTCCTCTTTCAAGCATCGTTGGAGCTGCTGAAAGCGAGCACGCGAGCACCGAAGTTCGTCATCATCTCCTCTGGAGCGGGGAGCATCACGGAGGGAGCTCAGATGTCGCTGGGGATGTTGCCGTACGGGGTGTCGAAAGCGGCGGAAAACTACCTCGCAAGAAAGTTGCATTTCGAACACGAGCAAGATGGACTGAGTGAGTGACCGAATCTCCTGTTTCGTGATCTAGATAGCCTTGATGCATCTCCCGATAGTCGTGTTCCCATTGAATCCTGGTGCGACGGAGACCGATCTTGGTACGTTGCGATGACTCGGGTACATGAACGGGACCGGATACTGAGAATGACCCTGTTCTAGCCAAGGGAGCCTTCGCCGGCGACGAGAAGGGTATGCAAGGTATAGGATTCAAGTCCGCGGACGAGTGCGCGACGCAGCTGCTGTCCGTGATTGACCGAGCGACTCGCGACGAAGAAGGAGGCCAGTTCGTGAACTTCGATGGCGAGAGGCGCCCATGGTAAACCCGCCCCGTCGATCCATGTACAATGTACAGTGTACACAGTCGGTATGTGCCTGAGATCAGGGCGTCCCCACCGCGGATGCAAAGACCCGCAGTTATAAAATGCCGAAGCCGCGGGTAACGGATAGCTGATATTGGGTATCGGGCGAATTAGCGTGGACGTTCAGTGGAGAAATCATAAGAAATCATTGGTCGTCCGGGTACGGGAGAAGGGCCAGCACCAAGCGGGCGGGAAGGCACCCGCAAAGCGTTGCCGCATAGTCAGCAAATGTGAGGGAGAACGAGGGCGGTCAATTCCTGAAATTCGGAGCGAGAAATCCATGGTGATTGGTAGGAGTCATAATAACAGGAATAAAAGCAGTTTTCAGATGCAGCAGCAAGAGACTTACCATACAGTAGGCTAAGTAATATTCCTGTGTTCATCCATGTCGAAGCAAAAACCGAAGTCGACCGTGACCAGTTGCACTCGAGGTTCTCACGCCACCCCCTGCGGTTTTCCCACCAGTGTCCGAGGTCTCCGTCGACTGCTGTTATTGTCTATGGCACCCGACAATAATCAGTTTGCCCAATCAGCGTACTGCACACCACATATACATGATCGAACATTACGACCGGAACAGAATGCCCACTTTGTTGGATATCTCGTTGTAGGACTAAGGCCGAACCGACGTCGCCAAGTGCTACAGCTGATGCTAGCCCGTCAGTATGTTGCCGCACGAGACCCATGATTTGATACTGATGGACATCGTACAACGCAACAGTCAAACGCACTGAGAATGTTGTCGAAGAACAGAGTTGAAAGTGATGGATGAACGTAGCACGGGTTAATAATGCCTCGATTCCCTCATCACCATCCGCCTTCAACCCACCTATGTATCAAGTTGTATGAAATAAACATTGCCGGAGGTGAGCCTCTCCATCACCATCATTCTCCTCCCATCACTGACAGTACTTCAAGTATCTGGCTCGTCTCCGGGGTGGCTCGCGGTATTGGTACGGCAGTCTCTCTCACCCATATCCTTGGTCCTCATGATCACGTAAGGGACCGTCACAGTCCTGGCTGAGCGGCCGTGAAAACGATTGTTTTCGCGGGCGCGCGCGACTTGTTCGCGGCCGAGGATTTGCACGCCTTGGCGGAGAAGCACCCGGGAAAGCTACACGTCGTCATGCCGGTTTCGGGGCGACCAACAGGGAAATGACGCCTCGGTGGGACAAGTGAAGCGAATCGTGGGAAGGCTGGATGTCGTGGTGGCGAACGCCGGCGAGTCAGAAGCATCGTATGCATAGCGAACCTGTGGTCTAAACTTCCGCTTACAGGTATCTGCTCGTCGTTCAATAGGGTACTGGACGAGCCTCGGACGCGGTGAGGGAGCATATGGAGGTTCGCGTCGAAGTTGAGACCTTGGATGGCTGATCCTCATTATCCTGCCTCGATTACAGGTGAACCTGATCGGTACGCTCGTGCTGTTCCAGGAGACGTACCCCCTCCTGGTGGCTAGCAGCGAATTGGGCAAGTCCATCCCCAAATCCGCCATGGGCGGCAGCATAAGCACCTGGCCGTAGATTCCGATGAAGCTCTTCTCGTATTTCGCGAGTCAGGCGGCGCTGAATTGGATGGCCCACAAGATGCATTCTGTGTCTGAAAGCGATGGACTCGGTACGTACGCGTTCAATGTCTACGTCCCTTTGATAGCATTGACGCGCCTCGATTTCAGTCGTTTTCCCGTTGAACCCCGGCGCGGTACAGACAGGCATGAGTGCGTTTCATGTGTCGTTATCGTCATCGACGTATGCAGTAACTCATGCCCACTCGTTAGCCGATCTGGCACGCCAGCAGGACGAGACGCTGGCGAAGATTGACATTGTCCCTCCCGAGGTAGTCGCTGGTCAGATCGTTGCCTTTATCAAGGGGGCCACACGTGAGAATGCTGGTGGTCAATTCATAGATCACCATGAAACGCGGCGGGAATTGTAGATCATTATCGCGATCGTGACCTATCTTCAAAAAATGCGGCCAGAGATCGTGAGTGGTATGTGTATATTCATGATATGCTGACTCAAGTATGACACTATCATCAGATTGATGAATGACTCGTTTGCACAAGCTGGAACCACTGTAGCGTCCGATACACCCGGGTGCGGATGAAAATCAATATCGTTTGGTTTATTGCCGCAATCAAATAAACAAGGCCACCTTGCCGATGTCTTCGTGTCTCGGTCCCCGTGCATGGCGCAAGCGTGCTCAGTTTGCTCAAACGTATGTATTGATAATCCTATGAACACCAATGATCGACAATTTCCAGTCCGCATCGTGCATCGCGCTTTGCAATCGGTGGCTGCAACGTGTTCACCACGGAATTTTCGTCCCGTCGAAGCTCATGAACTGGCCTCCCTCGTTCTCTTGTGTGGCTCTGTCTATCACCTTCAGCAGTAGAGCCGCAGTGTCATCTACCGTCTTGAACTTCCTCGAGCGTACGCCCTCGTCGCGTTCAGCGCCGTAGTTGGCTGTTCATCGTCACAGTCAGCAACCTAGACTGCCAATGGAGTTCGCGTCCCGTGTGGACCTACCCATATCAGTGTCGACCAAGCCAGGGCATATAGGAAAAACCACTGCGCGCATCCCGTCAGTATCAATGTCCTTCAAATGATCTCAGACGTGAAGTACGTACCCAACCCGTCCTTCTCGTGTTCGAAGTGCAGCTTACGCGCCAGAAAGTTCTCCGCCGCCTTCGAAATGGCGTACGGCGTCATCTCGAATGGACCGCTTGCCCCACGCTCGAGACCGCCAGCTAGCGACGACACCGCGACGAACTTGGGCGGAGCAGATTCAGACGCGCTGCTGGCCTTGAGCAGTGGAAGCGCAGCTTTGAACAGCACGAAAGTGCCGATGACGTTCACCTCGGGAGACACTGATATGAGCGCGGCATCCGTGAACAAAGAGGTATCCAATCCATTACGGACCTCGAAGTGTTGCCGCAGATCGTCTTCCGAGGCCTTGTATGCAGGTCCGTATGCCAAACATATTGCTGATGTCTCCGTTATGGTCGACTGACAGGATGCAGGAGCCGAAATACCCACCGGCATTGGCGATGACGACGTCTAACCGACCAGCCTTGTCGCGAATGAACGAGATCGCCGCCTCGCTTCCTTGGACATCGCCCGATACCAGCTTGACAATATATAGCTTCTCGGGTCGTTGGGCCGCGAGAGCCTGCAGATCTTTGGCGCCGTCAGGGTTGCGCGCTCCAGCAAAGACGACGGTGTTTTCGCGAGCTGACAGCGCCTTCACGAGACCGAGTCCTACTCAACCAACGGCCGTGGTAAGCACAATCTTCTGCAACAATGGCGAGTTTAGGCCGCTTACCGAGTCCGCGGTTTGCACCAGACACCAAATAGACGAGGGGAGCCATGCTTCACGTATGTCAGATGTACGCTCTTGCGCGTCCAGTTGACGACTTAAGTATGATTCTGACATAGGAGAAGAAACCCCAAAACACGCTTCACGATGTCACATTCCCGTCATGGACGTTGGCCTTACGGATAGTCTTTGCAAGCATGCATAAGCATTGCAGCTTTGTGGGTCAGGTCCATATCAATGACTTTGAAGAAAACCTCACGCCGACTCAATAGGATTACCGGACATAAGTACGTACTTAAGCATTCCCTTCTCGAAGTTCGGTGCAAATAGTAAGCCGCCGGCATCAGACTGGCAGTTCGACGGGGGACGGAACATGGATGCACCGGAGCACTCATTTGTTTTGTTTACTCCACTATAAAACACGGCCGGTGGCCCACGGCAGGAATCGCCGACGAGTGAATATAGGCAAGGACATCGAATGAAAAGACAGACTCCGCGTAGCGATGCCGCCAAGTCTTCTTCGAGGCTTTGCTTATTCAACTTATCCGCATTTACCATAGTGCCTTCTGACTTCTCGGGATCTGGAAATCATTCCGCGAGCAATACATCTGTACACTGCCAAGCCACATCTTCGTTCGTCATGGTGACAGTCTACATGATCGACAGAAGCGGCCGTATACTATAAATGTCTCTCCCTTCAGTGCCATCCTTTGTCACGGCATCGCCATTTATCCTTCGGTATCACAGGCTCCGAAACTGTAGGCGCCCTTCCCCCCAGGCCCTTCACCATGGAATCTTCGCTCCGTCGAAATTTAGGAAATGGCCGCCCTCGCTCTCCCGCGTTGCATTACCTATCACCTTCAGCAGTGGGGCCGCAATTTCATCTACGGTCTTGAAATCGAGGTTGCGTATGCCCGCGTCGTGCTCTACCCCGTAGCTGCCTTCGGAATAGGGAGATCAGCCTGCCAGCTGCACGAACGGGATATCCCTTCAAGGTCAGTACTTACCCATATCCGTAGTAACGGGGCCCGGGGATATAGGGAACGCCACTTTCCGCCTTCTGTCAGCAACAGTACCCCCTCTGCGACCTGTAGAAGACGTACCTAGCCTATCCTTCTCATGTTCATAGTGCAACTTGCGCACCAGATAGTTTAAGGCTGCCTTAGATATACCGTACGGCGCCATGTCGAATGGCGCGCTTGCACCACGCTCGAGGCTACCGCCATGCGATGACACCGCGACAAACTTGGGTGGTGCAGACCCGGAAGCACTGCTGGCTTTCAAGAGCGGCAATGCGGCCTTGAACAGGACGAAGGTGCCCACGACATTGACCTAGAGGAGTGCTTTATGAATACGACGGGCGTGCAAAAGTCAAAAGAGCGAATATTCTGTCACGGACCTCGAAATGTGTCCGTAAATCTTCCTCCGCAGCCTTGTACAGAGGTCCATACGCGTAGTTTATACCTGATACGCCGGATCGACTCCAGCGCGCATTGAAATATGACTCCCGTGGCACCCACCCGCGTTCGCGATGACAACGTCCAAACGTCCGGCTTTCTCGCGGATGAACGAGATCGCCTCCTCGTTGCCTTTGGCATCGCTTGACACCAGTTTCACAATATGCACTCTCCCTGGTTTATCGGCTGCGAAACTCTGCAGGTCTGTAGCTGCATCCGGGTCGCGCACTCCGGCGAATACGATAGTATCTTCGCGAGAAGATAGCGCCTTTACGAGACCAAAACCTACCAGTTTATGCGCGTCAATTGCTGACTAGGCCAATCGCTCCCATGCCATAGGACTCACCGATTCCACGGTTCGCGCCAGAGACCAAATATACGACGGGAGCCATTGGTCAGGGATGTCGAACACAACCTCGCCCGCCTCCGATACTGGCTTTATACGCGCACCCGAGGCATTCAGCGAGCTTGGAAACGTGTTCTGTACATTGTCACCATTATGACATACTCGGCGCGAACGAAGTTGGTCTGACAAACGATTCTGTGAGCATGGGTAAGCATTGCGAGTGCGCGGGTCAGGCCCATAGAGTCTCACGCAGAGTCCGGAGGAGTCAGGATCGTCGCCGGCCTATATTCCGGACTACTTGCTGAATGTAGGGTTCAGAGTCCAGGCTTCTTAGTGCAGCAATGAGTTCAGGGAGGTGACTTTAACCATTCTTGCGTATACCGCGTCATGAGTCCGCGTCTGAGGAGTAAGTCAGCGCGCTGGGAAAGTTGAGCCCGAAGCGTACGATAGAGAATCTAAGGCGGAGTTCGGTATGGTTTAAACCGCGGTTGCAAATCGAGTTGCTGATCGAGTTCAATATTGGCGAGGTGCCCCGCGACAGAGGTATGATCAAGTAGACCTGAGGCCTCCGCGAGGATTAGGTCAGGTGTAAACTAGCCGCCATGATCGACTACCAAAGTCGAGAGCACATCCCTGGAGCCTATGGTGGTACCTCGCCGGAGCAGAGTCCTAGTTTTCACTGCAGTGAACAACGGGCAGAGCCAACTACAAGACGCGAGTCCAAAATAAGCGATGGTCAACCGGCGCGACACTGCAAGTCGCGTCATCCCTCCACCGACGTGCCTTTCCACATAGAACGACGTTCCAAGTACGTAACTACGTAACTGCGAAGTATCCGCTCAGATACTCAGAGGTGGCTTTATAAGGAAGCTACACGCTACGATGTTGTATAGTAACAGAGTTGAAGGCGAGAGCCTGATATACCCGTGAAGCAAATCTACCACGGGTTCTTCACCCCGTCGAAGTTCATAAACTGGCCACCTTCGTGCTCTCGAGTCGCGTTATCTATAACATTTAACAAATGGACGGCGGTCTCGTCAACGGTTTTGTACGGGGTGGCGCGCATCCGTTCATCGTGCTCGGCAGCAAATTGGCCTATGAACACTTTGCGTCAGCATTCGTATCACGAGAGCCAAAAGGCGAATAACCTACCCATGTCGGTGTCTACAGCGCCAGGGCAAATCGGGAACACCACTATGTACAAATGTCGTCTCGTAGTCAGAAACGCGATGGCACTAATGCATGGCAACGTCATAAAGCAGACTTACCCAGACCATCGTTCGCGTGCTCGAAGTGCAGCTTGCGCGCGAGGTAGTTCTCGGCGGCTTTAGAGATTCCGTACGCGCCAATGTCGAACGGCATCGCTGCGCCACGTTCAAGGCCTCCACCCTGCGAGCTGATCATAATGAACTTGGACGCAGCGGAGCTCGCTTTGAGGAGGGGCAAGGCGGCTTTGAAGAGGACGAGAGTGCCGACCACGTTCACCTGATGGTGTTTGAGAAGTGAGTTCTCACCTGTGAAATGACATTGTCAATACGTACCTCGAAATGCTTGCGCAGACTGTCTTCTGTGGTGTTGAATAACGGCGCCCACGACTGGTTGATACCTGATGCTCAGAATCAACCAAGGAACGACGTGTGATGAGGGCCAACTAACCGGCATTCGCGATGACGACGTCCAGATGGCCCGCTTTCTCCTTGATGAGAGCGACAGCCTCCTCATTACCCTTCGCATCGCCCGACACAAGCTTGACGATATGCAATTTCCCCGGCCGTTCTCCCGCGAGCGCGTGTAGGCCCTTGGCGGCGTCTGGATCGCGCGCGCCAGCGAACACGATCGTGTTGTCGCGGGCAGAGAGAGCCTTTACGAGACCGAATCCTGGCATTGTGGATGAGCAACGGGACTGTAGGGCGAATGGTAAGGTCGGACACTCACCGATGCCGCGGTTCGATCCAGACACGAGGTACACTACGGGTGCCATGTCCTTCAGGTATACTCCGGTTTTGTGGGTTTTGTGGGTTCTGAAGAGAGAGAGTCGAGGCAGCGTTTGGGCTGTGTCGCCTTCGTCGCGATCCTTGCAAGCATCGACATACAACATCCGAGGTTTTCTCATCGGCTTGCGGCTGACGCGAGAAGTCGGCCAGGAATGAGCCAGGTATAGTAGCTACGTATACTGCATGTGTCATCGAGATCCCATTTCGCGGGTCGTGAGTCGGAGTCGAGAAGTTAATGTCACACATGTGGTGTGTTCGGGATGTTGTGTAAAGACCCAGCCAAGACACAACTCAGCCCGGGCGTGCGGACGGTGCCAGCATGGTTAGCAGGCTAGCGGGGTTGCGAGTACGAATGGTGGTGGGTACCTCGAGGACATGGGCGTTGTGGTGCACATCGGTGAGACGTGCCGGGAAAACGTGTTCAACGCGTTCGCAGCCGATTTGCAGTTGCCGCCACTACCATCGGTGAACCTCTCGTCATGATTGCAACACTGGTCAACGGTCTACGTTTGTATCCAGGCGGATTTCGACGTCTATGCGTATTTGCGAGTGCGCCTCTGGTAAGTTCTCGTCTGCATCCGATTGCTTCTTGCTCCAGGACGGAGTTTCGCGTATTGACTTGTTACACATCAGTGCCGGCCCCTGAACCCTAAGGACTTTACGCGAAAGCTCTATGTCTTTTCGAACAGTTCCTCGAACATAGCGACCTTAAAGCCGCAGGGAAATGCGTTGATATTTTCCGAAACCTCCTCGAAGACGGCGGTGATGCGCAGCTGCATACGTTTCAGAGGAGACACCATGCGCTCATCCAGCTCGCGCGAGTCCTAGAGGAACGGTATCTTCATCTCGGAGAGCAGGCAGATATCGCCTCCGCTGTGATGCATGGCCGAGAAGCTCAAGCTATCTGCCAGGCGGGGAGAATAATTTGTCCAGAGGTGCTTGGGTTATATGCAAGCGTCCTGGATAGCAATGCACAACTCACCAGCGACGCCCACGACGCAGATCGTCAGAAAGCCCTGTCGCTATGCCAAATGCCTATCTCGCTGTGTCCTTCAGGGCATCCTCTCCTGGCGACCGCTCTGCGCGTTCTTCGGTGGATTAGCCTCCGATTATTCGAGGCAACCGGTACTCCGAGATACCTTCAGGAGGCGGTGGACCTTCAATGGAAAGCACTGACCCAAGTGTCTGTCCCAAGGCCGCGACAGACACCGACATTTGCGCTCGTTGGGCGGATATCTGTGTCGGCGATACGAGCTATTTGGCGATAGTCGTGACTTCGATGAATCGATCTCGGTTTTGACAGAAGCTACGCATCTTTGCCCTCCTGCGCACGTCGACAAACCCAAGATACTCCTCGTGACAACTGTATCGCTTCGTCGCATATATGAAGTTTTCGGAGCATCTGAGGACTTTGATCGAGCGCTTGAAGTCGGTCGGCATGCGCTAGAACAAGACTGCGTCCAGGGGCACACGAGAGCCTATATACCCCATGTCATCGCCACGTTTCTTCGTCTTCAATGCATGATTACCGAGTTCCCTAGGCTCGGTGTCGATGACTGTGTCAAGCTCAGCCGAGATATGCTAGCGGAAACGCCGTCCCATACCGCGCTTTACTGGCGGCGCATGTACGGGTTAATGCAAGCACTACGCATCAAATTTAGTAGGTGTAGTAAGCCATAAGTTGGTGGTAAGGCCACTCGCAGGATCCACAAAGATTCGTGTTGTTGAGACGAGGTCAGATAGCTAGAAACCGTCGTCGTTTTGATGAATCCTCTCCAGATGACGCTAGCGTAGCCGAGAGGCGCCTTGACCCCTTGAACGGTGACCACGTCCAAAGCTCTCGGTCCCATCAGTACACGCACATATGCTTATAACAATACCCTCTTTCTATGTGATGGAATCCTCCGAATTTCGACGTTCGACAAACCTTGAAAGAGGCGGCGAGGGCGCGACAATCGTCCACCGCCCGCACACGATTCGACCATCGCGATCTTGCCAGCATCGGCGGCGGTAACGCGCTCTAGCGGAAAATCGCAAATACCCTACTGGCCGATGACCACCCTTCCATGGCGTGAAGCCTGCCACGAGCAAGCTGAACGCGGTATGGCTCGCGGCGCCTCTACATCCACCTGACGATGACACAAGTGCCGTGTTCTGCGACCGATCTGCACACCGCAACAGGCCTTCTACAGCTGGCGCCCGCAGCTAGCCACTGCACGGTCTGTGCTATGACGAACAACTGAGGACCCTTCATTACCTCCACAGTTCCTCGTCCCGTCCCCATAGCAGATTACTGCACAATGTCCCCCACTGTATATCTCGTTTCCGGGACCAACCGTGGCATTGGTGTGTTATTTCACATTACTATGCCTTGGCGCACCCGCTCATCACCTTCCCACATGTTTAGGCCTTGGATACGTAACGGCTCTTGCAGCCCGAGAGAACGTCGTCGTCTTCGCTGGTGCCCGAAACCCCAGTGCAGCGACAGAGCTGAGCGAGCTATCGGCGAAGCACCCAAAGAACGTCTTTGTTGTGCAACTAGACGTGACCAGCAAGGCGAGCGCTGAGGCTGCGGTGGCTGCGGTGAAAGACAAAGCTGGCAGGCTGGACGTTGTGATATCCAATGCCGGTGTGTCGTCATCTTTGTGGAAACATCGAACCCACGCTGAAGGCCTGTGATGCGTATACAGGCATCAGTGATTGGTATGGCCTCGCACACGAAGCACCCGAAGAGGAAATGCGGAAACACTACGAGGTTCGTTCCTCCATACAGAGACGCATGGGATCTCTCATATACCGAGCTCGATTCCAACAGGTCAATCTCCTTGGCCCGCTGTTCCTCTTCCAATCTTCTTGGGCTCTCCTAAAAGCAAGCTCCTCCACGCCCAAATTCATAATCATGACCACTCGTGCAGGCAGCATCGGCTACGGTACTCAGTTACCATTGAACATGATCCCCTACGGCACGTCCAAAGCTGCGTCCAACTTCCTCGCGAGGAAGCTGCACTTTGAATACGCGGAAGGTGGACTCAGTGAGTTGATCCGTCCTCCGGCTCCATACCTGATTTACTAACGGGCTTCGCAATCAGTCGTCTTCCCCATTTGCCCCGGCGCAGTATTGACTGATCTGAGTGAGCCTCTCGCGCCGCGAAATTCGCTTACGCAGTCTCACCAACGATTTCTCGTCAGCGAAATACGCAATGTCATGTGAACCACGCATCCGCGGCGCGCCGTATAAACCAGTCGACGAGACCGTCGTCCAGCTGCTCTCGATCATCGACAATGCGACACGCGAGGGAGAGGGTGGGCAACATTTGGGTCTCGACACCGAAGACGGACGCCTGCCATGGTAGCTGTAGCTGAGCGCTTATTCCATGTGACCTCATATTGTGTCAAAAACACACACCATATCTGAGACGCTATCGAGTAGCCTGTTAGGACAGTCGCGATAGCGTCTTTGAAAGCCGCATAGTGTGCTCTGAATACGTCACTCTCGTCGGCAGCGTCGAGACTGGCTCAATCGGCAAGGGAGGGGTGCTGCCGCCTGGTTCTCATATGGACGATGCTATTGGACGATCCATACTCTCTCCCGAAATGGAAGGTATTTAAGTTGGCCGGCCTCTCAACGAGGGGCAACGTTCTATTGGATGACTTCCCGTAAGATCTGTAGCGACAGAAAGACAGAATAAACAGTTGAAACCCCGATCTGTGGGTTATGCTGTAAATCTATGCTCCCGTACGGTCCTGCGAGTGTGGGGCGGAAACAGACGTCATAAACGTTGAGAAGGGCGGAGCAGCGAATGAGGAAGAGAGAAGGTCACGTGTATGATTAATTCCAGTCTGTAAACGGGCATTCTGGTCTGGAAGGGGGGGTCGACCCCCCGTTCCACGATAAAGGTCTGTACGAGCGACCGACAAACCGATAACTTAGGCTTGACG